TCTTGGCGAGTAGTAGCGTTTTTGCTTTGATGATGAACCGAACCACAAAGGCTCGCCTCCCGTACTGTGTCGGTATCAAATCATGGCCTATTAGCAATGTTGATCAGGTGCGTCATGGTACAATGTCCCGAATCATATCATGTATGATGGTGATGGCATCTTCATGGTGATGTTATCGATATACGCAAACACAAAGTCGAGATTGTTGCTGTTACTGCTGTTATTATTATTCCTGCTAAAGTTACATTCACTGCTCTTGTTGTTGCTATTGCTGCCATTACATTTGAAGAGTATAAGCACCACAGGTACACAATATCATGTAGAATATATAATATTGGTGTATGTTAAAAAATATATATGCTCGGACAATTTCAGCACATTAATTTAAAAGATGATTTAATCAGTGTAATTTATTACCATTGGTTGGAAGGAAGTCCAGTCTACATTTTGAAAAGCTGCTAATAATTATAGTACTATATCACAATTTACTATCTTACTGTTCTATTTGTGGAAGATTTTATGAATGTGTTTTTTGTTTCTAATATCTTGAAAATAAAATAATTTAGTCAAATTGTCTGATTGCAAAATATTTTTATGCAAAATTGATAATGAAGAAATTTTAATCGCATTTAATAGAAAAGTAAGAGTTATTGCACGTAAGTGCCTGATCGAATCTTATCTAAAAATATTTTTGAATATGATCAAAACAAATTGTCCGTTTGAAATTGTCAGTTTTTCATATCGAATATATAAATATTCCATACCTTCTTTTGTATGGAATATATTTGTATGAATATTGTTTGTTGTTTATTAACTACTCCTTAAATAATAGACCTTTTTCAAAAAAATTTTTTTTTGTTTTGTTGATAGACCCTTTCTTGACATATGGTACAAATTTAACCGCCATCTGTCAATTATTTAGTTTACAGCAGCTGTTAATGTGAGACTACCTCAAGTGTATTTAGCGATTTTTACTATGGAAAATTCTTGTTGTACGCGATTTGTTTCTGAATCTGTGCAACTTTTTCCTGTTCCCGAAACTCAAATTGCCCCTTCGTGGTAAGCGTTTTGAGTCGATTGAATCGGCAAAAGATAATTCGCTGAAGGAACTAAAAGTATTACCTTCACGGGCCTACGAAAAGTGTATGGAAGATTGGATTAAGCGTTGGCATATGTGTATCGCTTCAGAAGTAGCATATTTTGAAGGAGATAAAATAAATTTGGAATAAAATTTAAATTTGTGTGTTTTATTTACAAAATCCGAGTACTTTTTGAGCAGAAGATACAATATAAATATTTGTACTTAAATAAGTTGACATATTTAACTGAAGTATGCTTAAAATATACTTATTGAGAATTAATTGACATATGTTTTGTCAGAACTACATATTTGTATCGTAGTTATACATATAACATATATATGTATATGTTTTATATCAAAGACATTTTTTGCATCAATAATTAATTTTGGTATAAATATTCCAAATAAAGTTTATTTGACATAAATTGGAATATCCTTGAATCTGAATTATTGGTTTATATAGAAAATATCTTCATAGAAATCACATACAAATTTAAATGACAGTAAAAGCAGAAGATAAATAGACAGGATCAGTAGCTTCTTTTAGCCAATTAACTTGAAATCACATATATATGGGATTTGTTCCTAGACTCCTTCTTGAATATATTATATTCTCACTAATCATTCATTTTTATTAGTACATTCGGTTAAGAATAGTTTTATAGAGCATACATATTTCGTGTAGTTGTTCTCAGAATTGAACAAATGTGCACCAAATGCAAAATATTGCACTTACATAAAAGAAATTTTAAAATCCAAAACAACTTCAGGCAACAAATAAGGATTAGTATCTATACTCGAACATACAACTTCAAATATGGTAACAAAAGAAACCATAGGTGTGTAAGAGTATGTGAACTAAACACTTACCGGTTTAACACACTCAAGAAATGCTTTCTAGCAAAACGTAGAAAAAATGATTAGAAAGAAACTTTCTTTCCATTCTTAAAGATTGAAAAAACTAGTCCAGCACTATACATTCCGCACCTAGTGTGATTTGTGTCTGTTCCCTGAAGTAAGACGAATTAAAGGAAGTGTTTTCGGCAAAAATGAGTGGGTAATTAGTGCAATTAATCTTGAAGTTACATACCTAAAAAATCCGATTTTCTGAAATTATATTTCCCGAAAATATATATAGAATTAAACTTATTTTAAAAAAATAAAAATAAAATTATTGTTAAAAAATTAAAACTAGTTTTTCAACTTATTTTTGTAGCCAATTAAGCGAACTTTTGTTAGTCCCCCCGTGTCAGACAGTTCTTAACTATCTAATTAGTAGAGTAGACTATTAATATAAACAAAAAAAATACGGAATAACTTTTTTAAAAATTTCACCATTTAATATTTAATTTTTATTTCCAAATCCCACAAAAGTTTTATATGATATCGTTGCATAGTTTTAGGTGCATATGTACTTCATTTATAAAAATGTAATTTAATGTCCTTAAATTGCCAGCAAATGATCACATTTAATTTATTGGATAAGAGTGAATCTTGTATGTACTAATCCAGTTTTACTGATTACTTTTTAATATGGGTACAAGTTAATAATAATTTCTGAACAAAACATTTTTTCACTATCTAATTTGGTATGATTCCCAAAATACATTTGGAATTACGATTGGCTTATTAACATGTTAAAATATATTGTAGTTTTAAACTAGTAATGCTTCTTCTTTGCCATTAAGATATGAAGAATATGAATATTGGTTAGTTTAGTAAACAGAAAACATCACTGATTAAAACTTCCGACCTAATAGTATGTTTCCACTGGCTTCATTAGACCAGTTAACTTACTTGATATTCTCAAGCAAGCTCAAGTAAGTTAATTGGTCTAACGAAGCCAGTGGAAACGTACTATAAGTGAACATTTAGAATAGTGGTTTTATGTACGAGTTCTGTGCAGAATAATTTTTTCCTAAGCTATAAATTTGAACAAAAAGCGTTAAGATTATTTCTTATCGGTTCGTACATTGTATGGAATTGGGTGTACGAATGGCAGCAAAGCAGACAAATGTGCGAAGTATATGATAAAGAAATTTACAAAATGAGATACAGGAAATAGATGTCAATCTACTTCCTCTACACTTTACATTTTAAAGTTTATTATTTCAAAATCGTAATATTATTGCTGTTAACATGAGACTTTGTTAAATATTTTACAGTGGTTCTATACAGAAATCTGCAGTTTTCCGATATTCTGTATTTGCTTCTAAAACTATTATTTTTTTTATAAATTTATACAATACTAATTAAACTTTCTACAACTATTAAGACTTTGTCAGAACTGCTGATAATATTGCTTAATAACATCAAAGATGCTATACGCGGCGGATTAAAAAAGTTAAATTTTGACATTTTAACGATTATTTAAGCATGCTATTTAACAATCGAGACCCTAATTGAACTAATTGAAGACTATCAAAAAATGTGGAATGTAATTACGGTTCTAGCTTTAAACCATTATAGTTCGGTATAGTTCAAAAAGTCCTAAAAGGAGGAAGCATATTTGATATATTGAGAATATACATATACTATATATATTCTGTAACTCCAACTTCTATAACTCAAATTTTCTATAACTCAAACTAAAAATATTGTCAATAAGTCGGATTTTTGTTTTAAGTATAAATTCATTTTGGTGTTAAGGGAAGTCCCTTTTTCCAAACCAAATATTTAATTTTTTCTTTTTTATCATACTCCTTTGTGCAAATATCAGTCGCTGGCCAATTTTCAACATGAGACGAACTAGACTACATTCCTTTAGTTTTCTTGAATAACATTGATAAAGACCGTGAAGACAGATTTATAACGCGTGGTTTAAAAAAATAAAATAACTTCAAATGCTATTCTTAACGATTATATTGAGCTTGACAATAAAATTTGTACATCAAGTTTTTCTACAGTTCGACAATATTATTGAGCATTATAGCTCTGAATTAGTGGATCCGATTATAAGCGCAACGGAAAGTGATGATGAGGGTTCGGTGGATGAAATTGTACATCCGCCTTTCACAAATAAAGTAGAAAACTCATTCAAAAACATGAATTTTTATTTGCAAATGAATGATACCATGGCGGTTTGATAAGTCAGTGAGTTTTTGAATAAAACAAATTTTTTTCGGCAAATAAACATTTTATTTTTCTACATAATCATCTTTTAGCTCGATACATTTAGTCCAGCGTTTTTCTAATTTTCTAATTCCCTCCAAAAATAATAGGTTTGTTCAAAGCTCTCAAAATACGCGTTTGTTTCGGTAATGACTTCTTCATTCGACTCAAATCTCTTACCGAAATGGCTGTTCTCTAGGTTTGGAAACAGAAAATAGTCGCAGGGGGCTAAGTCTGGAGAATATGCTGGATGGGGTAGCAGTTCGTATCCCAATTTGTGGATTTTAGCCACGAATGCTTAATCAGCATACGAAATTCACTTTTTTCCATTTTCTTAAAAATTCACGAGGTTGTCTGCTTTGAACGGCTGTAGTGCTGTATCTTCAATAGTCATGGTATTAAAAAACAATTCCCTCGTTTTTGATATAGCCTTGCGTTAAATCAATCGATTTAACGTACAAAATAATAAAATAAAATAAATGTTTAAGACAAAGTTTAATATTGTTTATCATTAAATTAAATTTCTTTTTTAAAGTACATAAAGATGATAAGAAAAGTTTAGTGCTTATCTTAAACTTATTTGAAATTAACTTTTGTCTATTTCATATACATATTTAATCGCAAAAAGTGATTAAATCTTAAATAGTTAATTTATATTAATTAAACGGAAGTCCGATTGATTGAAAACTTTTAAATCTAATCTAAGAAAAACTTTTGTGGAACTTAAGCGTTTTTCTGAATATAACAAATTCTTCTATAAATACTTGAGAAAGATTTTGTGCAAATTAGTATTTTCTTTAGTTTTGCCATTAAAATGTTAAAATTATTTATTACATTGTCAGTTTTGAGTTGCGCACTTGGTGCTGCTATACCAGATGGTATGTTACCACAGCAGGATGGTCGCATTATCAATGGAACTAAAACAACAATAAATAATTTCCCTTGGCAGATATCTTTACAGCGTAATGGTGCACACTCCTGCGGTGGTTCTATATATAGTGAACATATTATTGTAACTGCAGCTCATTGTCTACAAAACGTTTCACCAACCATATTGAAAGTCAGAGCTGGTTCCTCTTATTGGAATAATGGTGGTATGTTGTCTGGTGTCGCTGCTTTCATAAATCACGAAGGTTATAACTCAATAACGAAATCTAATGATATTTCTATAATACGTTTAAGTACGCCCTTGATTTATAAGTCAACAATAAAAAACATTCCATTGGCGACAACTTCTCCTGATGACGGAGCACCTGCTGCTGTTTCTGGTTGGGGCGTTACTACTTTTGGCGCTGCTGCTGTTCCAAATCAGTTGCTTTTTATCGATCTTAACATTATTAGCAGATCGAAATGTGCATCTAGTACTTATCGTTATGGTCCGCAAATTAGATCTTCCATGATATGCGCTGCTGATGCTGGTAAGGATGCTTGCCAAGGTGATTCTGGTGGCCCATTAGTTTCAAATGGTGAGCTAGTTGGCGTAGTGTCCTGGGGTTATGCATGTGCCTATGCGAATTTCCCAGGTGTCTATGCGGATGTTGCTGTGCTACGTTCTTGGGTTCTTGAAAATGTCGAAACTATTTAGATAAAAATAAAGAAATAAATATAGGCTTACCAATACTTGTTATAACAAAGAGTTTTATATGACTGTAAGAAGTTACTTGGGTTGTGCGGAATATTAAAAAAGACAGATATGAAATTTTTATTATCAGTGGAAAATATAGAGTAGATTTATGAATATTGAAAAAAAAAAAAATGATGTGCACTGGATGTAGAAATCATTTATATATAGAGAAATCTTAATGCATATTTGTAGGTTTGACATATATTTTTACTGTTGTTAGTTGTCAGATAAAGAAACATTTATACGAAAATAACTATTAGTATTTAGACGCTTATTAGCAACAAGTTTTCTTTCTTACTATTATTGCTTTTAAGTGCACTAAATTGAAAGTAACATGGGTCCTGGCTACGTTATTCAATATATGTCTATCAAAATATTAACAACTAACAGAAGAAAAAGGTATATTAGTTCTATTGTAAAGGCTAGTTTGATAAAAAAGTAATACATTGAATACATATCTAAAAATAGAAGGTCAATCAATGTGAGAATAATTTTTGACATCGTTTACACTGCACAGTGATGTTATATATTCTTGGAGTACACACCCTCATAAAATTCTGGTTCTCTACAAGATTTTCACACTTCACGAAAAAATACGAAAACCCAGAATCGCTATACTGACTCGACTTAGTTTAGACTATATTAACGAATAGTTATATACTAGACACAAATTTATCAGTCTATTTTTGGCGCAAGCTCAAATTGCAACTACATCTCTAGACCTTAATATCTTGTAGATCTGTTTAATTGTTTCACTGCGCATACATTCTTTAGCACAAATGATTCATAGCCAGTAAGGCACAACATATTTAAATCTTGATATAGTTTATATTCAATCTGCTTAACTTATGCTTAACTTATGTATACTTAATATATATAACATATATAGGTATGTATAGTTAAAGTACATATATATTATAAATAGTATATACTTTTATATACCACTATTTTCCAAGAAATTATTATACATCATATATAACACTTGTAAGAAAATCCATACTTGTTAATAATTTAAATACCTTTTTTTGATTTCATTACACTAAGTCCATAATTTATTGTCTCTAGACAGTATTTATAGGTATATATACGTATGTTTATATACATATAAGTGCCAATTATATCGCTGTATATTGAAATATGGTGCAATGCACAACCAACTTCACAGATAATTAAAAAAGATTTGAAAGTTATTATAATATTTAATAGATATTATTATTGATAACAAATGAACTTACAGAAACTATTTCAAGGTATGAAGTAATATTATCAAACCCCTTAGATCCCTTATTTACATAGCATGTAGTGCAATATATTGATATAAATACTGCTGCAATTGCAGAAAGAATTTAATTGTAAAATTTACCATGATAAAGTTAGTAATTTTATTATCACTCTTTGCCTGTGCACTGGGAGGAGATTTGCCTGATGGCTTATTGCCACAACTCGATGGACGTATTGTTGGTGGTCAAGCAGGATCAATAAGTTCTTATCCATGGCAAATCTCATTGCAACGCTCAGGATCACATTCATGCGGTGGCTCTATATATAATGCTAAGATAATTGTCACTGCTGCTCACTGCTTGCAAAATGTTGCTGCCTCCTCATTACAAATTAGAGCTGGTTCTACATACTGGAATAGTGGTGGTGTTGTCGTTAAAGTAGCTGCTTTTAAGAATCATGAAGGTTATAATCCAAGCACTATGATTAATGATATTGCCGTAATACGTTTAAGCTCTTCACTACCATTGGGTACTAATATTAAGGCAATATCCTTGGCCACCTACGATCCAGTAAATGGCGCCTCTGCTGTTGTTTCTGGTTGGGGTACACTATCTTACGGATCTTCAAGCATTCCAGCAACCTTGCAATATGTTAATGTAAATATTGTAAGTCGCACACAATGCGCATCTTCGTCTTATGGTTATGGTTCATCTGTAAAAGCAACTATGATTTGCGCTGCAGCCAGTGGTAAAGATGCTTGCCAAGGAGATTCTGGTGGTCCATTAGTATCTGGTGGTGCACTTGTTGGAGTTGTTTCTTGGGGTTATGGCTGTGCATATGCAAGTTATCCAGGTGTTTATTCCAATGTTGCTGAGCTACGTACTTGGGTCATTAGTAATGCTAATATTATCTAATATTGTTTGCAGTTAAAAAGAAAATAAAAGAACATTTAAGAAATAAATCAACTGTTTTTTTTGGTGATACAATATTCAATTTTATTTGTACAAAAAGGAATCAGAAATAAATCTTGTTCCATTGCAGCATAACATGTTTAAGAGACTAAAAAGTTAATAGTACACAAAAACAAAAATAATAAATTCTATAAGATGTCGCAGTTCGCTCTTATACACTTTAGAGCTTTCGTTGAAGCATACCAACATTAGGTGTCCAATGAACACAATCCACATTTTCTACATACCATATATTTTGTTATTATGATTTTAACAGAAATTAATACAATTCTGTTAAAGAAAGTAAGATCACAACATACATTTGTAATAATTGTTTATATGACGTCTTCACTAGGCAAAGCAAATTGTTGCTAATTTTTACTGCTTTAAGCAAATCACTTTTTTGCAAAAATTCATGAATGGAAAAAAATATTTGCTTATTTACTTGAAGAAAACAAGTATTGTAACAATACTTGTCACATATTTATATATATTGATTGTTAAAATAATTTTAAATATTAAAAGCAACGATAATTTATGCATTGACACTTAATATCAATAAACTGCCTTGAATAAAATTAGGTACACTATTTCTATTTATTATTTTTGCTTTATGGTAGCTCTTCAATTTCTGAGGGATATCGTGGTGTCTTATTTACTAGCTTTCTTTAACTGAACCCATAATTAAATTGACTTTTGCAGTTACAAGCAGATCAAAGCGATTCGCACTTTTTTTAATCAAATTTTCAAAAGGAATATGGATATATGCAACTTTCTTGATATACTTAATATTTCTTAATATATATATATATAATGGAACAAGTAAATTGAGGTATTGACAAAAGAAAAGATGAAGGGAAGATATAGAAAATATATTTAAATGTTAATTTTTTCTTGCCGAAAGTAACACCTCTTATTAGTCTTCGTATGTAATTTGACAGGCATGAGTTCTAAGGCTGGCACTTGCAGTCCAAATAAATTATATATGGATTATAAAGTAATTAAAAAGAAATTTGAATATTGACCACTTATGATGAATATTTGGCAATACTTGAAACAGCGTTGTATGGTCAGTCAAATTTCAATAAATTAATTAAATTTTTGATCTTGTCTTTTTTTTGTTATTCGAACTCTTCTAACAAGAAAAGAAAACATATTTTTTTAATCATGACAAACTAAAAAAAGAGGTATTTTTTTATGTTTTAGCTCTTCAAATAAAAGATATCTATTCTAATTTTAAAATTCTTTATCTGCCAATACTAGTAATCTCTCCGAATTACACACATATTTCTCCAATGCAGTATGTCTCTGTAAACATCAAATTTTGTCAAAATATATACGAATTTTAAAAATTTGCGTTTCTTGGGTGTTATTTACTTAAGAAGATCTAACAAATACAACAATAACTTAATGAAATTTAAATTATTGTCTTTGCATTAGTTGTAAAATCAAACAAAACGCCATTAGTAATTGTTATGAACACCCATTATTTATAAACATTAAGCTTATCAAGCTAAGTATTTATTTATATATATTTTTCTTTTCACACCTAAAATAAACAGATATTATAATATATTACTCGCCACGAAAAAGCTTACAATTTTTTAAAAATTATATTCGACAGTAAAGTAATTAACTGATAAACCCAGTAAATACATACATTAACTATATTCTTATATAAAAAGTATATTAGTCTATTAATTCTTGCATATGTTACAATATTTAATATAAATAGTGAAGAAACTACAGAAAGAATTTATTTACAAACATCGACAATGATCAAGTTAGTAATTTTATTATCAATATGTTCCTGTGTACTGAGTTTACGGTATCCTAAAGTAGAAGTACGCATTGCTGGTGGATTACCTGGAAACATTTCAGATTATCCATGGCAAATATCATTACAACACTCGGGGAAACATACGTGTGGCGGTTCTATATTTAATGATAAAATAATTGTTACTGCCGCTCACTGTTTTAAAAATGATGATGTTTCCAAATTACAAATAAGAGCTGGTTCATCTTACTGGGATAAAGGTGGTGTGGTCGTTAAAGTAGCTGCTTTTAGGAGTCATAAAGATTATGATCCAGACGTTGTGAATAATGATATTGCCGTCATACGTTTAAAATCTCCATTACCATTGGGTAGTAATATTAAACCCATACCATTAACTACTAATGAACCAGGTGATGGTACTTCAGCAGTTGTTACTGGTTGGGGAATTCTTAAAGAAGGAAATTCTTCGCTTCCATCACAGTTACAGTATGTTAATTTAAATATTGTAGACCGTAAAACATGTTCGGCTGCATATGAAGATTTTATAATTGATTCAAACACGATTTGTGCCGCAGCCGATGATAAAGATGCATGCCCAGGAGATTCTGGAGGTCCTTTAGTTGCTGACGGTTCATTAGTTGGAGTTGTATCTTTTGGTTTAGGCTGTGCCGATCCAAATTATCCAGGAGTTTATGTTAACGTGTTTAAGTTGCGTGAGTGGATAACTGAAAATGCAAAAAAAGTATAAATTAGTTTTTTATAATAATCAAAAATAAAAAAAATTGTATTCGATTGTATTGTATTAATTTTTGTTACTACAGCGACAATACTTAAGCTTAACGCAGAAGTGTTTATTTATATTTTTATTTATTTATTTATTATTTATTTATTTTCTTTTTGTTTTTTATATCAAAACTTGTACATTAAATTTCAACACAATAAATATAAATTTTTTTAAAAAACATAAATAATAATTTTACATATCTTGAATGTAATCGACTTTGTTAACGTCGTTTATTCTGTTCTAATGTTTCCGAATGTAGATAAATCCTTAGGGTATTCGAATATTAGAGTATTCGAGAATTGAAGATAATTTATTATATAAGAATTTAAAAAGTTGAGTAATTATGATTATTATCAACTAATATAGGATTTCATCACGCAACTAATTCGAAAAAATTTTTTTTGAGAATTTAGTGGAACTGGGCAGTTTTACTCTTTCTTAGCGGGGGGATTTCTACGGAGTCCCACCCTTCTCTTTGAATAATTTGTATATTCCTCACAAGCTTTGCTGATTATTCGATGACTGATCTAAGATCTGTATACTTCCCTGTACGGCTATTGGCTGCTCTAAGATTAGATAATGCTATGTAGGGCAGCCTTTGTCCCTTATATATTTTTTACCGGGTCTATTCTGAGGTCTCTTAGCATGTCATTGGTGGGGATGAGAAATATATATAATATAAGATTTATACATGTGATATTATTTAATCTAAAGTATGCGTAAGTATTCCAAAACAGTGCTTAAAAATTATATTAATTAGTATAAATAATTATAAAATTAATTATAAAATTAATTTATAAAAATTATATGTATATCTAAAAAACAATTATACAATTTAGTTGTAACTATTTATGAAATATTATTAGTAATACAAGTCTTATACATTATATATATATATATATATTTATATAATCAACATTTGTACAAAATAATTGCTACTGTTAATAATAACTATTGTGAATGTTTATTCTAATTATTATTAGAAGAAGAAGAAAATTTTGTTAATAAATTTTGTTTTAAATGAATATTGAATATGCGCGTTAGTTGTAGGTAAATAAAAAAAAACATATTTTTTTAATAAATTTTTTATTTTTCATTAAATTCTATTTTGTATTAACAGTATTTGTAACACAACTTGGGCTGCGGAAAATATTAAAATGTACCATGTACCAAAAAAGCGACATAAGCGAGAACTTTGGAACATTGCCTGTGGGATGTTATTAAAAGATACCTCGCGCATATGTGAAAAGCATTTTCGTAAAGATGATTTTAAGCAAAATGCGGGTCGAAAACGCCTTAAACCAGCTGTAGTTCCAACCCTCAACTTGGATCGAGTTTCAATCGGGAAACCAGGCATAGCACCAAAAAGACTAACAAGTGATTGTACAACAACATTGGACACTAAGAAGTTGCACCACAAAGAAACGGAGGATTTAATTGATTTGTAAGTGTAAATTTAATTCTTACGGCAGTAAAATAATAAAATATCTTGCAGTATAAATGAAGAGCAATTTGACAATAAAATTTTATACGACAATATTGAGAAGTTACTAGACAAAGATGATGACAGTTACCTGTGTGGAATGATTAAAGCTACTAAAAACAATGAAGTTTACTCAATATATTGTTATAAATGTTCTAATGTGTTTTCTTTAGAGAATTGGGAAAAATTTGCAAACCACGTTAGAGATCAACATCGTAACCGCACCAATTCTATTACAGAAATTATTGTTGAAGAAAAATTAGAAACTAGTCATAGCGATGTGTACGTAGCAGATGAAAGACATGAACTTGGTATAGAAGCAATTATAAATCATGAGATAAATCTTAATTATACATTTGAAGAAAATGAGTGTGAGCAGTATTTAGAAGTACGTACCATATATAAATGTGTTTTATTTTAAAAAACTTTTTATTTTTTTTTATTTGCTTAATCAGAATTTTTCCGAAGAATCCTCCAATGAAGGTATTGAACGAGAAGAAGAATTGTCAATCTTGAAACCCACGAACCAAGTAGGATATGTTTTTAAAATATTGAATTTGCAAATTTAAAGTTTTTAGATTTTAGATACTCTTTACAACAACGGACAAACACATTGTGCTGGATTTTTTAGATATGCTCAAAAGTTTTCCTGCATTATGGTTAGCACGTCATAATTCAAAAACAGCATACGACCTAGCAGTTGACGCATTGACTGCAGCGCTAAACAAAAAATGGCAGTTAACAATGTCGACACAATCAATGCATAAAAGTTTATGTCGCATAAGAAAATGGTATCGTAGGACATGTTGCACAGCTAATAAAAACACTATTCATAAAAAATATCAAGAATACTTTGAGAAATGCTCTGAATTTCTACCAAATGATGAAAATGAAATTGCTGTATCTAGGCGCTTATGTGATATTTGCGAACGCTGCTTTAGAGATGAAAATCAATTGCAATTGCATCAAACTAGAAGTCACAAATTAAGCGATTTCCCATACAGATGTTCTGACTGCAGTTGGCGTTTCTTGAATGTGGAAAAGTTGAATGCGCATAACTGTGTAAGTAAATCGATATATGTGGAATCCGACAGTCAACATGAAGTTTGTGAAATTTGCGGAAAACAGTTTCCTACGCTAACGCGGTATAAAATGCATAAAGTGTTACATGAACCTCCTAAATACAAGTGTAATAATTGCGCAAAAACATTTTTCCGTAAATCACATCTTACTGAACATATAAAAGTACACTCCAACGAACGGAACCATGTTTGCGAGCAATGTGGTAAAGTGTTTTTACGAAGAAAACATTTGATGGAACACCGTAACGGTGTACATTATGAAAAAATTGTGTGTAAAATATGTGGTTGTAAGTTTAATGATTTCAGTAGTTTACAGGGTCATAGGAAACGATTTCACATAGTTCTTGAAGGCACCTTAGAAGAATTGGAAATGAAGACTAAAATGAAGTATAATAAACATTCGTTCATTATAGACGAAAAAACAAATAAAAAACGTTTAGTGTGCGATATATGCGGAAATACCTACAGCCGACATGCTGGTCTTCGTATACATAAGATTAAAGCGCATAATTATGTTCCACCTAGGTTACATCGCAAACGAGGACAAAAAATGCATCAACTGGAAATGTTAAGTGATGATACTGAAAATATATCAATAGAAGTAAATTACGATAGTGTGGTCGAAGAAATTGAATTAAAAGAAGAAGAAATATGTGAGGAATATGGCGCAGAATTTATAATAGAATGTGAAGAACTATGATAGAATTGGAATTAATTACTACAAAGTTAAATATAGATCTATATCAAAAGATATGGCACTACTGTGGTTAAGAGCAAAAAGTATTATAGTAACAAAGATCAAAAGCAGTTAAAGCTAAATTTAGCTTTAATAGATATAAAATTATTTTAACACAAATTAATCGAAATTGATTACATTATAATCAAAGAAGAACGAGAATTTAAAAAAAAAAAAACGAAAAATTTTAATTTTGAATAATTTCCTTTATTATCGCCTTCAAAGTACTCTCCTCCTGCGGCAATACATGCATGCCAACGCTTGATCCAATTTTCCATACAAGTTTTATAGGCCGCCGAAAGTATAGCCTTTAGTTCACGCAGCGAATTCTCTTTTATGGCCTTTATGTTCTCAAAATGCGTCTATGGTCTTCGCAATGGCAATTTGAGTCGGGAGAAGAGGAAAAAGTCATACGGGGCCATATCTGGATAGTACGGTGCTTGGTTCATGATGTTAGTGGAGTTTTTGGCCAAAAACTGCGACACAACTAATGCAGTGTGAGCCAGTGCGATATCGTGGTGTAAAATCCATGAGTTTTCCTTCCATAAATCTGGCCTCTTTTTGCGAATGGCCTCACGTAAACGACGCATAACGGCCAAATAAATCTCCTTATTGACCATCCGGAAGGAATTCATAGTGCACCACACCACGAATATCGAAGAAAACAGTCAGCATAACCTTGATTTTGGACCGACTTTGATGTTCTCTTTTCGGTTTCGGCTCACCTTCGAAGCACCATTCGGTCGATTGTTGTTTGTTGGGCATGTCAAACTCATAGACCCATGTTTCATCACCAGTTATGATGCGTTCGATGAATGTGGGGTCACTATCTGCGTTGAAAATCATTTCTTTGGTCACATCACAACGACGCTTTTTTTGAATGAAATTCAGCTAAAAATCGCCACACGAAAATTTTTCGACCTCTTTCTATTGACGCCAAACAAAAACTAATTGTACGATATGCGTTAGACAGAATGTGTGTAATACTCTTGCCAGCGTGAAAATTAAAATTCTCGTTCATTTTTGGTCACAAGGTATGATCTATTGGTGTCTCCAATCATAACTTGTTGATTGCGAATTCTTTCGAGGTGGACTCAAAAAACATTACTAAGTTCTTTCAAATGAATCGATTGAACTGCTAAAAATAAAGCGATACTGAAACTATAAAATTGTATCATTATTATAAGAATATATTGAAGGTGTTCGCGTTATGAAAATGATAGAGATTTGTAGAAATAAAACGGATGCTTTCAGCTGTACAAAAAAGCCTACTCAAAAAATAAACAAAATGGGCCAAGAAAATATGTTATTCAAATAACTTCAATATATTAAAACACATTTAATATGGAAGCGTGCTACAAAGGATTTTGATTTTAATGTCAGCGGTTGCAAAACGTTGCTATGGCATTCCATCAAACACGGAAGTTTAACTTTGTCTGCTGGAAGGTATCTCAATGAGGTGGACATCTGAGATTGAGGTGGCATTCATGGTAATTTAAACGAAATGAATGTTGACAGCTACTATGCCACTTTTCATGTGACTGCACGGCACGGACTTGCTCTAGATTAGGAAGAGGCTACTGGAACAGAAATTTCTGATTTTAGTTTAAGTGACTATTATTTATTCGTGGCTCAACTTCTTAAGAGATTTTTAACTGAACATTTAATTTATTTAAAGATTGTAAGTATTTATGTAAAAATAAACTAAATAAAATTTAATATTGTTCCATGATAAAGAAAAACTATGCAATTCTATTATTTTTTCATATAATTTGATCTTAAACGAATTTAAATAAATAAAGCATATTAATTGTACATATGACTTTTATAAATAAAAAATTAATTATTTTCTTCTATAACCTGTTTAATGTCAATGCCCAATTCTTTAAGCCGCCTTTCTATATCTTTTGTATCCAATCCATTTTCTATGTTATATTTGTAAGCAAGATATAATTGATTTTCTTCTAAGCCACGTACATGATCATATAGATTACCACCTAATTTAATATCAATGTCGTTTTCCTCTCGAAAGACCAAAAAATATAAAATAAAAATTCCCAAACTTATAGAAATAACATATGGTTGATAGGGCAACGCATTTGGATCATCTGCACCTCCACTGCGTGTTGCTCTTGCACTCCAACTTGCCGCTTGACTTCCGAAAAACTGTACTGGAGCATCCAGATTTTCTTTAGCCTCTGTTCTTGTTGAAATATTTGCCGATTTTACTGAATAACCACGAAATGTTGCACAGTAACTAAAAACATAATAGAATAGAATGATTTCACATATCATTTTATCAAAAATGTTCTTTACCTCTGTGGTAATCGTTTACTTAATGTACGTAATTGCCGCAACATATTAAATTATCAAGTTAAAATATATAAAAATGTATTTGGCAAATTATAAAAACAAAAGTTTCATAATGTTTTTTAAATCAGCTGTTTAGAGTGCATTAGTTCACAATAACTGTTGGAACGTGTTGTTATGTATGGTTGGTTTATAAGGTGAGCAACTCCAAACCAGACTTGTCAAATTAACAACTCTGTCGTCTGTGCGGCCCTTTATAGAAAGAAAATTGATAGAATATTTTGGTCTATTATTGCTTTGATATACACGTGCATATATCTACGTATTTATATACGTTATTCATATGGATTTGTTTATATAAACTTGTTTCCCATACCTTAACATTATACATAAACATTGTTTAATATTAAAGTTGTATTTAAATAAATCAATAATACAATGATTTATTACAAATTTTTTAATATATTAATAAGATATACATATGCATACACAACTCGTTGTTTTTTGTTTATACCAAATCGATTTCTAACCCGCTCAACCGATCTGATATATTACTACGTAAACATTATGCTAAATTAGCTAATTTATTGATAATGAGTTCATTTATATGAAAGATTGTTGTGTGGTAAATCTTCCTCAATAGTGTTTATAATAAACAAAACTGCCTAATTGACAAAAGTCAACTTTTGTCTTACACCATATTGTTTTTTTATAAAACTTTAAATTAATGGTTAAACATTTAAAAATTTATTAATTAAATAATTTTTTCTGTGTAATGTAAATACGCACTCTGGAGCAACTTAGGGATATATATCTACTGTGATGATAAAATAATATCTTGAACAGCATGCTGTAAATATTAATATCACGTAAGTGAAATTAATCATTCAGAATAGTTTTTGCTTTTTCTTCGTACGATATTCGCTTTTATGACATAAGCGAATGTATGTTTCCATACTAGTATCAAAAATATGGTAGCACTTGGTTTATCGTTTTGGTCGTTTGTTTTCGTCAGTTCGTTTCAGGGGCTCAGCTGAGTTGGTTGATTTGTCGTGTGGTGTTTGTGTTAATATTACAGAAAGTTTTGAAAAGAAAGATAATTTCTAAATATATTGTTATTGTTAATTCAAAACGTAAATTATTACGCGGCTTCACAGTTCATAAAGTTTTAAAAATCAAATAAATAAAATTTTACTGCACAAAAACATAATAATGTGAGTGCAAACAAGCGCAGGCTATACAGAGAATATATGTTTTTTATTAAAACCAAATAGGATTTATATATTATTGACCATAATTCATGTAGAAAAATAATATTTTTTTGGGCTTTCTTATTGCTAAAGTCCAAAGTGCACGATGCACGTTTAGAATGGTGCTTAAGAGATTTTAAAATTCTATTTGCGATGTATTTCCTTGTTATGCATTTTTGTCACCTCAGTGCGCTCTCCTCTCATATCTAACCAACAAACTGCATAGATATTTGTGCATATAGTTATTAAAATAATTTGTAATAATTTTGCCTGTGTGTGATATATATTATAAATTTTTAAATTGTGCATATATTTCCGTCGTATCTAATATATTTTTACTGATTTTAGTCTCTGCAATGGCTTCTATATATCGTATAGCAAATGTAATTAATGTAAATTATATGCGTTTGAAAAGTCCAATAATTGCTCTATCAACACATCCGAAATTTTACTCTCCAAAAATCAATTTGCCATCTGGTGGACGCACTGCAACGACAGTGGGAGCAGCAGCGATTGGTTTGTCTATGAGCGGTAATAAAACAAGTCCCTTAAATAATAACCCATAAATGTAATGGTTCTAAAAAGTTCGCTAGCTTTGTCTGCATTCAGAACGTAAATCGATTATATTTTTGGCGATTGCAGCAAAATTAAACAACGATATGACTTATCAATCGTTTTTTATATAAACTTTTCTAATAAAAAATTTATTTTTAATAATCAAAGTAATTGAAGCGAACTTTTTAGGTATACACAAATACCCTTTGTAAAGCTATAAAAATTTATATTTTCATTTTATCGGTAGCGGCAAGTGGCCGACAAGCACCTTTAGTACGGAATATTGCCTTTAATTATAATTCTTGTAATTTGAATCTAAAAGTGAATCACCAACAACAGCCACAGCTGAGAAATTTTTCCAGCTTGCAGATACCGTTACAATCTGAGTCTTCAAGATTAGTGCATCATGTAAGAGATAAGATCAATTTATATACTTTACTAAAAATAATATTAAGTACTTTTAATTTATTTATAATTCCATTCGATTTATGCAATTCTTACTGTACGTTCCGTAAAGTAGTTTTCGATATTAACAATCTTTTATTTCAATTTACTAACAGTTTCTTTGTTATGGACTACCTATAATATATAGATTTTATATATATATTTATAATATATATACTGTACATACATATATATAATAATATATTATAATAAACAATATATAATATATTATAATAAACAATATATAATAATATATTATAATAAACAATATATAATAATATATTATAATAAAACAATATATTATAATAAACATTATATTGTAATATTATAATATATATTATATTATAATAAACAATGTATTGTCATATTATAATATATATTAAATTATAATAAACAATATATTGTAATATTATAATATATATAATATTATAATAAACAATGTATTGTAATATTATAATATATATTATATTATAATAAACAATATATTTTAATATTATAATATTTAATATATTGCAATATGTGTATATATACTATAATATATATATTTTCTTTTAAATTTCCTGCACTTAATTTGTTTTATATACCTTACAAATCACACCACAATGACCACCCTATCTCATAAGCCCACCCAACACATGTTGTATCGATTTTTTAAATCCAAAACATTGACGTTGTTCCTTAGAACTGCTTAAGAAAAAAAATTATAATTGTAGAACGCTTAATTATAAACAAATGAATATGTAGTGTGTATATATATGTATATTATTGAAAAATAAACATATGTAATTGAATTGTTAAAATATTACAAGAAATAAAATTTTTCCAATCCAAAGAAACTAGGGTCTTTACAGGTATATCAAAAAAACTAAATTAGAAAAAGATTGTGTGAGTGCACATCAAGAAGTTACTGATTTAGATCAAAACTACATTTTCATTATTCATCGTTCAAATGAAATAATCCGAAGGTCCATGTTATATATGCAGTCATGTCACTGCTGTTGTAAACTACACAAGAGCGCGATGAGTGGCTTCGAGTAGTAGACCCTGCAGTTTTTGGAAGCAGTCATCATCATATCAAATGTGAATTTGTTGTTGTTTGAAAAATTTTAATTTGTATTTGGTCACAATGACGTGCTTATTGTGTCTGGTCACATTGGTCAAAACAGTGTTGCTCAGTAATAAATGTCGAAATTTGCGACATTGTTATGTTGTAATGTTGTTCGCCGTCTTTAATAATGATTTGATATAACAAATTAGATTTTTTGGCTGTGAGAATTCTGTTGGCAGTCTTTCCTGGTTCTTAAGAAAAAATTTATATTTTCTCTCTCTCTCTCTCTCTCTAATCATACAATCTTTATTAAAAGTATAATCACTATCTTTACCAAAGAGATTTTCCAAACTTATAAATATCTTGAAATGCCGGTTACATTGATAAATGAAATAAACCTGATAATGAAGTTTATTTTCAATTCTTTTTGCGTGTTGTGCCTATGATATGGAAATATACACATACCACGCAAAATTTATAATATATATATGTATATAATTTTATATATATATGACATGTAGAATATATATGTTTTGATATATATATATACGCCTATCTTCACTTTGCCAGTGGCAATACTCGTAGCATCAAATGTCTGTTTTTTTCTTTTCCTTTTAAATTTAATTGAACTCTACTCTCATTTGAATACTTTGGACTTTGTACTTTAGGTACCTAAATGAATGCATTTTTATTGTGAGAATTCAGATACATAAATATAATTTTTTAATATTGATAAATATTTAATTGCTGAAAATGAAATTTGATTTGAATAAATATTTATATATTATAATTGTATTTCTTCGTAAGGCATTTGAGTACCGATAGTGTTTATAATGCTTATATGTATTCGGTTATTTAATGTTTAATTAAGCAATCAATGAAGAGACTAAAAAAAAGCAAATGTTTATATTTAAATAAAAGTGGTAAAATTAAATCCCATGCTATACATAATGAGTGTGGATTAAAGATTCTCTAATTCCACAATTACTAGAATAATTTCTTTTACTACAAAATTCTATCCATAAAATAGATACTCTTAAATTATTGTTATTTTCCAAGTCTTTCTTTTGTCCTAAGTTTCTTCAATTAATTTTATATAAATTAAAACAAATATATGCAATGAATATAATTTTACAAAACGTCTTCTTTTTATACTTAGTTATACATTTTAATAAGAGTAAATACGTTTGAAGTCAATTTCTTCTCTACAATTATATATACATTTTTTTTTTATTTGATATAGGAAATAATTAAAATTTTACATTCTGCAAATAATTTGAATTCACTATTAAAGTATATAAAAATATTTGTTTTCAAGGTGAGATAATAAAAAAAATTAGTTTTGGCTTTCTCGCATCTCAAGTACCTTTCACACATCGCTAAATCAAATTTAATATTACAAGTTTTTCATAGCGTTTTCGATTGATAAATCTAGATTCAATCTAAATTTACTCTGGATCTGACAAATCCAATCGAACATTTTCAGAGAATTTTTTTAGTCGTGTTAGTAAACATTTATATTTTCATAAATCCATATATCGAATCAAATACACTTTATCTGTCAAATCATATAAAACAGCTGTTAATTTCAGGATAATCTTCGTACTCTAGCAAAATATCTAGAGTGTTATACATTAATCTCGAGCATTAAATAGATTTAGCAATCGAAAATGAAAATTGCACTAAAAGTGCATTTCTTTTAATTTTTTAGCATCAAAACTTTATGAAATAATATTATTATTATTATTATTATTAGAAGGGGATTTGCACTGTGACCTAGAGTTCTCTTGTGCCTCCTTCATAGATTTAGAGAATTTCTTCAAGTTCAACTACATCTATAAATTGTAATGTATTGAACCTATATTACGGAGTTTTATTTTTTCATCTGATATGCGATATTCACCTATGTACTTCTTTCGTTAATGCATCCGTATTTTGAGATTTTATGAGGTCATATGATATAATACTCGTAACATATGTATGAAAAAAAATTTCTTATGTAAACATGAATCTGAATCATTTGTGATGTCTACATCAATAATGACTTTCAGTTATATATACTCTTGCAGTATCCACTTGGATATTTTGCATTCATAACAGTCTTGTAATTGACTATATCTGATCTATATTTTTTTAGCAAGTAAAACGAAGGTAGCAAAAACTGTTTTAATCCAACATAGTTCAGTATATAGCCATGTATTCGTTTATGCCCTATATATGCCTAAAATGTGGACTCCGTTCAGCAGAAGTGCAGGATTCAGTTGATCTTCCGAATTAGTAGAGATATAAACAAAATAAACTTTATTCAGTAATTTGTGTTCTAAATTTTATTATGAATGGTATTTTAAAATATTTTAAAATAAAGAACAATAAAACGCTTTGACATACAGTGGATAGAATATTAGCAAGTTAATTAAAGAGCAGAGTTTACAATAGTCTCAGAATATTATAAGAATGGAGTCAAACAATAAGAAAATGTTTTGAATTCTGACAAAATGTTAAAAAGTGAGCGTTCTTTTGAGATAGAGAAGTTTGATGTGTAGAAGCAAAAGGCACTAGACGAAGAAAAATAGCATAATATATTTTATAGACTTGACAATAAAACCTGGTGCACTATAAAAACAGTGATTAAATTAATATTAACATACAGTTCTATCTATTTCTTGATGTTATGTAGAATTCTGACTATATCAAATGGTTGGACGTGATTTTTGGGAGATATAAAAGTTTGAGGTATTGAAGTGGCAGCAAAGACTTAATACCAAGGAAATAGAAGACATTATAGAGCTGACAATGACGTCTACAGCAATATAAAAATCCTGATAAAGCTAATACTTATATATATTGTAGTTTACAGATATTTGTTGATAATAGAGTTAACATTCTATTATATAGTCTTTAATATAAAATCTCATTCTTATATAATTGAAATGAAATGAATGTTATCTATATATTTATATATATAATTAATATATTTCAGGAGTTTTTTTTTAATATAAAATACTGGATAGTCGAAATTGGAAAGTTATTTATTTTTCTTAAGTTTTTTTGGAAATTTTTATTACATATGTAGATAAAAAAATACAAATTCTTGATTCAAAGCATTAATCAGATACTACTCTATTATTCAAAATGTATAAAAAAAAGTAGATTGGTATTATTTTATGTATATCAACACTGCTAAAAAAAATACTAGTTATAAGGGCAGCTAGTTTCTATAGAGATAAGTGGTCAATGGTCACGATGATATATTGAATATATCATGAAAACATGTCTCAATCTAAGTTCAACATTGTGACATTGGAAAAAATTACTTTCTATGTAATTTATGTAGTAGAATTAATCTACATAAATAAATTGTTAATTTCAAATGTTACGCTATGTGTCTAATAAGTTTTTGTTTTCAAGACCCAAGTAAACAGAACCTTTAGTTAGGGTATTGCTCTTTATTCACAACATAGACAAATTGTAAAATAAATAATTAAATATACATTATTTATTATTAAAAATATAAGATTTTTTTCTTGAAACAATTAGAATTAAAGTACTTGTTTAAAATCGGTCGATGTATTTTTTACAGTAATTGTATTAAAACTTCCTTGTTTTTTATTTTTTTATTTTTAAATGTTTATATTAAATGTTACTAAAAAAAGCTAGTTTTTTATTGTATTTTATTTATTATGTTAATAGCATGTTTTACAATTCATTTTTAAATATAGCATTTTATATTACTATAGTTCACAACAGTAATAACAAACAACGTTTAGAATGACTTAGTGCCATAATTTAATTTGATTATAATTATTATATAAAAATACATATTACTTTTTGTTCGTTTAAATATTTTTTATAAAATTAAATGCTTCATTACATGCCTTAAATATTAGTAATTTTTCTCTTTTATAAATGCAGTGTA